GGGTTGGACTCGATGATCTCTGGAGGTCCCTTCCAACCCCTATGATTCTGTGATTCTGTGATTCTGTGAAAGCCAAGGCACAGATGGAGCTGAACTTGGCCAGGGATGTGAAAGATAACAAGAAGGGGTTCTACAGGTATATAGGCAGGAGACAGACCAAGGAGAGTGTTCACTCTGATAAATGAGAATGGAGAATTGGCTTCCTAGACATGGAAAAAGATGAGGTGCTCAATAAATGCTTTGCCTCGGTCTTCACTGGAATGGGCTGCCCAGGGAGGTGGTGGAATCCCCTTCCCTGGAGGTGTTCAAGGAACGTTTGGATGTTGTGTTGAGGGATATGGTTTAGCGAGAACCATTGGTGATAGGTGGATGGTTGGACTGGATGATCTTATAGGTCTTTTCCAACCTTAGTGATTCTGTGATTCTGTGATTCTGTGATTCACTGGTGGTCAGGCTCCCCATGTCTGCCAAGACCCTGAACCTCTAGGTGAGAGTGAGAGGAGCGGATTCCATCCCACTGTAACAGTGGAACAAGTCCGAGACCACCTCATGCAATTGAATGTATATAAGTCCATGGGGCTGGATGATATCCATCCCAAGGTTCTGAAAGAGATGGTTGATGTGGTTGTCGCGAGCTGCTCACCATCATATTTGAAAAATCATGGCTGTCCAGTGAAGTCCCCAGTGACTGGAAAAAGGGAAACATTGCTCCTATTTTTAAGAAAGGGAGGAAGGAAGACCCGGGGAACTACAGACCGGTGAGCCTCACCTCTGTGCCTGGGAAGATCATGGAGCAGATCCTCCTGGTTACCATGTTAAGGTACATATGAGACAAAGAAGTGATCTGAGACAGCCAGCATGGCTTCACCAAGGGCAGATCTTGCCTGACCAATCTGGTGGCCTTCTAAGATGGAGTGATGGCATCAATGGATGGGGGAAGGGTGATGGATGTCATCTACCTGTACTTCTGCAAAGTCTTTGACATGGTCCCTCACCACATCCTTCTCTCTAAATTGGAGAGGTATGGAATTGAAAGATGGACTGTTTGGTGGATTAAGAACGGGTTGGCTGGTCACAGCCAAAGGGTTGTGATCAACAGTTCTATGTCTGGGTTGAGGCTGATCACAAGCGGTGTCCCTCAGGGGTTGGTCTTGGGACCGGTGCTCTTCAACATCTTCATCAATGACATAGATGATGGCATCGAGTGAACCCTCAGCAAGTTTGCAGATGACACCAAGCTGAGCGGTTCAGTCAATACATTGGAAGGAAGGGAAGCCATCCAGAGGGACCTGGACAGGCTGGAGAAGTGGGCCCATGAGAAACTAATGAGGTTCAACAAGGCCAAGTGCAAGGTGTTGCACTTGGGCTGGGGTAATCCCGGGTATATTTACAGACTGGGGGAAGAACTCCTTGAGAGCAGCCCTGCGGAGAAGGACTTGGGGGTCCTAGTGGACGAGAAGTTGGACATGAGCCAGCAGTGTGCGCTTGCAGCCTGGAAGGCCAACTGTGTTCTGTGCTGCATTAAAAAAGGAGTGGCCAGCAGGGAGAGGGGGGTGATTGTCCCCCTCTACTCGGCTCTTACGAGACCCCATCTGGATTATTGCGTCCAGGCTTGGGGTCCCCAGAACAAGAAAGATGCAGAGCTCTTGGAACAGGTCCAGAGGAGGGCTACTAAGATGATCAGAGGGCTGGAGCACCTCTCCTATGAGGAAAAGTTGAGGGCTTGTTTAGCTTGGAGAAGAGAAGGCTCCAGGGAGACCTCATTGTGGCCTTCTTGTACTTGAAGGGAGCATATAAACAGGAGGGGGTATGACTGTTTACGAGGGTGGATAGTGATAGAACAAGGAGGAATGGTTTTAAACTGAGACAGGGGAGATTTAGGTTAGATATTATGAGGAAGTTTTTCATTCAGAGGGTGGTGGCGCACTGGAACAGGTTGCCCAGAGAGGTTGTGGATGCCCCATCCCTGGAGGCATTCAAGGCCGGGCTGGATGTATCTCTGGGCAGCCTGGTCTGGTGGTTGGCGACCCTGCCCATGGCAGGGGGGTTGAAACTAGATGATCTTTGAGGTCCTTTTCAACCCAGACCATTCTATACATTTGCTCCACTTCCATATGCATTTGCTGCACTTATTTTTTGCTCTATGCCCCTCCAAATGCTGACAATATCAGTTTCTTGGGGAGGGGAGAACCCCAGCTGGCAGCAGAAGGAAGCAGTGTAGTCCTTTCTAAGGGAACCTCCACATTTACACTGATGGTATTTTTATCCACTAGCACCAGCTGCTTGGTACTTGTGGAAACAGGAAAACTCTCAGAAACTTGAGAGCCCATTCAGAAGAGAAACTGCAAATACAGTGGGTATCTGCAAAAAGTTGCTGTGTGATATAAATCAGATTTCTTGCAGACACAACGCGTTGTGCCCATGGTCCCAGAGCATGGCAGGAATTTAATGAGGTTTGTGCAAAGAGCAGAGGATGGGGCCCAAAATATAGACTGCAGTGCCCCACTGTAACCAAAGCTGTGCCAGGAGACCAGGGCAGGTGAGGCAAAGCCAAGGCGATTGGGAACCAGCATGGCTGCAGAGAGAGGCAGGGAATGCTTCTGTGGGGATTCATCCTTTGTGGATGCTGAAAAATGTTGCCTATTAAAGCATGGAAATGCTTCATGTTTTGCACGTCCTGCTGCCTAGCTGGGTGTCACACAGAGCCCTGACCTTTCCTGTATTGTATTCCCTTCTGCTCTTAAAGCCTTTAGATTTTCAGAACACAGCATGTACTTGCCCTTCACTCCCAAGCTGCTTGCTACTCTGCTCACTACAATGCAGAGCAGCCATGGAGCTGCCACACACGGCTATGGGCACCCAAAAATTAAACTTGGATTTAGCTGCCTAAATGCGAACCATGGGATGCGATGCTTGGGGCTGCAATGTTGGTTGGGAGCCCCATGCTAGGGTTGGCACTGCCCTGCAAACCCCGTCTCACTGTACTCTTTGGTGGTGCACTGGCCAGAGCTTGCAGAGCACACAGTGTGTGTGCTGGCATCCCTGGGCTGGGTTATATTTGTGTATTTGCTTCTGCCAGAGCCACCTGCCAACAACCTGGCACAGAGAGTGCTAATGAAGCCTAGTGAACAGCTGCAGGCATGGCTCACAGGTAGTGGGGCATCTTGAGACAGCTCAGGGATCAGAGGGGCAGGGATCCAGGGGCCCCTGGGGAACCTGGGGTCTGAGGGGACAGAAGCTGACTGAGCAGAAATGGGGACAGTTTTTTAAAAATACAACCAGAGCTGCCATGGATTTTTTTTTTTTATTTTTATGTGAGAAGCTGGTTTTTCTTGAGGCATGCAGAACTTTTGGGGGGCTGTGAGAAGTGAGCTGTGGGGTGTAAGGGGTCACCCTGAGAGCTCATGCTCAGCCAGGAGAGGCTGGCTGCAGTGTGCCATCACAGGACAGGCAAAGCTGCATCCTCACAGGATGGGGACAAGCTGTGCAAGATCTTTCCTTTTGGGGTGCGTTTGCGCGTGAAGACATTCCTGCCTACCCTGCAGGGAAACAGAGAGGTCCCATGGGACAACCCACAGACACACAGCTTGGTGCCCCGAGTGATGGGGTTGTCTGTAAATACCCCCCAACTTGCCCAAGCAGCTGCTGGACACCCCTTTCCCATGCCCCACAGCCCCATCAGCCTCCCCAATCTGCATACCTATGCCAGGGGATACCTGGGGCAGCCCCCACACCCTGCTCATCCCATCAAGGGATGCTCTCAGGGGTGCTGCCCCCTGAGTCCCCCTGCTACCTGGTGGCTTTCCAGTCCTCTTCCAGGGACCCGACAGCTTCACGCAGCAGCCACATGGTGCTCAGCATCTCCCTGCCACTTGCATCCACGAAGCACTGCCCAGCAAAGGCAGTGGTGGCATCTGGGGGTTGTGGCAGGATGGGAGAGAGATGACACCCACTCACAGCCTTCCTTCACTGGGGTGCCCCAAAGCACTCCCAAGAAGACTTCCCGGCTCTGGTGCCCTGGCACTTACTGGAGAATGTGTCCCACCATACAGTGAAGGCAAAGGTGGGCCATGCCACCTCACTGGGCTGCTGCTGGGCTCCCCTCAGGGGAGAGATGCGTGTACAGCCACCAGCAAGGGTCACTCGAGTGAGGTACTCGCCTTGGAAGCCTCCATCATCCGCCAGTGCTGAAATCTCCATCAGTGAGTCCTGTTCGTTCCTCCACAGCCCGCTGAGCTGGCACTGCAAGAATAGGCCAGCCATTGCTCCTGGGTGCAGACCAAGTGCTACCCCGTTCCCTCACCCCACCCCCTACCTTTCTCTCCACAGGGGTGACACACGTTGACAGGGCCAGCACCAGGACTAGGGTGAAGGCACCACTCCCCATGGTTGCAGTGCTGCTCAGCACCTGGCAGGGTTTCCCCTCGCCCCTTTATAGGGCTGTAACCAGAGCCGTGTAGTGCTGGGGGCTGAGGCGAGTGAGACAAGGTCGGGGTGACCCAGACAGGCAGAACTGCAGGGGAGGGGTTGCTCATGTTGCCAGCTGCTGTCCTGTGCCACCACCAGCAGCTCCTGTTGCTGCTTCTGAGCTGCAGTGTGAGGCTTCACTGGGGCTGGGAGTTGGGCCTGCTGTGGCAGCCCTGAATGAAGCCCTCTGGTATGTGCACTCATGGTCCTGGCATATGATCCCTGCAAAGGCTGAGTGCTGCTCTATAGGGCTGGGGTTCTGGCCCAGGGGCTACTCCACAGCTAAGCCAAGGAGAGCAGCATAGGAGCAGGATCAAGCAGCTGTTGATCCCCTGGGTGAAGCTGGAGCTCCCTGACTTCATCTGCTTGGGAGAGATAACAGCTGGGTGGAGACACTGGGCATGGAGACATTTCGTGCTGAAACAGACATTGGGTGCTGAGATGTTCAGTGTCGAGACACTTATAAACAGTTGGTAGGAACTGTTCCTGCAGAAAATATCTTATAGGCCACTAGGTGCCCTCAGATAAGGAGCAGCCTTGCTAATACCTCTGCCAGCCCATTTCCCCTTTCCTAATTCTCGCCTTTGTATGAAGCAGATGCTTGGACTAAATATTAACTGAAAATGCAGGAAGCTTGTTAAAAGGTAACTCTGGGCAGAGCAGCCAAGAAGGTAAAAGGCTGCAGTGACAGTGTAAATGCACTCTGCTTAGAAAGGCTGAGAAGGAACTGTAAAAGCTGGATAAATTCAAGTATAGGAGAAGGAAGGCACCAAGAAGACAGCATTGTGTCAGAAGTGGAAGGGGCATACAAAAAAGAATATTTTATTTCCAGCAGCTGGCACTCAGTGGAAGCCTATGTCCCTTGACCACCAATTGACCCAGCTGCTGTCCCTGCTCTCCATCTGGCTGCACAGCTCCAAGACTACCCCAGCTGCTGGCACTGGATATGTTTTCCCTTCTGGAACAGTGTGCTCTGACGCAAACAGCACTCATCAAAAGGACTGCAGGGATGATCAGGCATGTGGGGAGGGCACCTTTCCTCTGGTCAGGTGTGTCCTGGGTACTGGTGCTTAGCTGGAGTGTCACTGTTACCCACCTCTGCCCAAGGAATAAACACCTCAATGTCCCAGACACAGCCTCATGTCCCTGCTAAGGGTACGATGTGTGGCTTCAGTCCCCTCAAAGAGTGCCCCCTGCATGAGAGGGACCTGAAATACCTGGGACTGGGGCACATGTAGAATGCGGTTCCCCTGCTTGTCTCCTCCACTGAACTCAGCTGCAAGGGAATAATAGAGACATATGGGACATGGCTCTGCTGAGCAAAGGAGAGTTTATTTGGCTCCTGGTATGGGGGCACTGCAAGGGAGCAGGTGGGAAGTGGGACACAGCAAGTCTTCCACATCACCCAGACAGACTGATGGACACCACCCTTGCTATGCCCTCTAGACAGACAAGACACTTCTGACACCTTTCCCATGCAGAGAGGTGGACACCCCTACCATGTCCCCTGGACACATGGACACTCCTGCCATTTCCCACAGAAAAAAAAGATGAACACCCATGCTGCCTCCCTGTCTGGAATGGAATTGTTTTCTTCAGAGTGTATGATATGATTCTAGGAGAATAACAATGTTGATAACACACCAATGTTTATAATTGCTGCTAAACAGTATTGTACAGAGTGTTGGAAACATCCAAATAATTTTTGCCAGGACGGTATCTCTGATAAAAGCAGATTTTATTCGCGATTGCAATGGCGGGCGTCCCGCAAGCAGGAGCGCACCTATGGACACAAGATGACAGTCTTTATACCCTGTTTTTCCCTTTATCCATCCCCCTGCCCTGTTTCCCCATTGGCTGGGTACTCCAGGTTCACAATCTTATCAGTTGACGTTTGTTGATTCGTGTGTTATCTGGTGTAGCCATCCTGTTGTTTCCAAGATGTCTCGGTGCTCTTTTTGTATTGATATGGTGATTGTCTCCGAAGTCTTCGTTAAACAAAGAGCACCGGG